CGATGGGACAGCTTTCAGTCTCCTTCTTCTTGACTGTCCAGCTATCATGCTTGGAAAAAAATGGAGAAATGTAACTGTGTTTCCTTTCTGAATAGATATACGGCTGGACTGTCAGGACTCGTTCGGTGTTTCAGAAGAACGGAATGATGTCCAGCTAACTAAAATGCAGCGGCCGAGTTCTCTTGCACAGCATTCAAGTTAAAGGAATAAGGTGGCGTAATATGCTCGTTACATCAAGTCCTATAGGCACGCAAAAGTTGCAAACTCGCTTCCATGGAAGTAGTAAGTGCATGCTGAAGAAATCAAAGCAGTGTTATGCTATCCACAGGAGAAGAAAACAATGCATACTCAAGGGCGTTCGAAAAAGACACCCAAGTAGGGAGATGGTAAATAAATCAAAAAGGCCAACCTTTGAAGCTGATTCTCGAGGAAGTAAAGTGTCGAGAATCATGCTATTTCGACTGTGGGCATCAGCATCTGTAAAAATGACCGTCGAATGGTCCCCTTCGACGCCGAAAAGATTGAAACCAGACAGCGACTCTATAGCGGCCTTGGCCATACCAATAGAGCTTAGAAAAAGAAAGGAGACAACGGAAACGAAGTTATTTCGGTTGGAAATATTATTCTCACGTACAAAGAAAAAATTATAATATAAGCATTTCGTTAAGAGGTGTGAGTAAAACTTCAAATAAATACCTGGCATGCAGCTCAGTGACATTCCTGTTCTGTTTCGAGCCACGCTCCCACATTCCATAATCCGGTATACGATAGGCTCGCTCCAAATAGAATACCAAGTTCTGAACAAAGGCCGCTTCCGTCTTTGTGTGAATAACCTTGAGAACGAAAGTATTGAAAATAAGATGACTTTAACCCTAAAACCTACGTGAAGGCCTGATAAAATCATCTGCGCAAGTTGGAGGACAAACAGGCCGACACAGTCCATCTGCAGGTGATTGTAATCCGTCCCCTCGAGGGGCTGGCCAGTCGCATAGTCTAGCCGAGTAGAGAGGCTAGTCTCCAGGGTCTGCGCAGTTTTGAACTGTTCTAACTGCAAGAAGAAACTTGTTTATGTGGACATTGGGAGAGGGAAGCTACTAAGCTGATGAAATATGCATATCTGATGAGCGTAGCAAGTCAAAAAGACGCAAGCAACGTACACGAACGGTCTGTTGCATCCAGGCCTGGAGGATTGCCCGCATGCATTTGATCGCTGATTGACGCAGTTCGAAACTTTGGCCGGATTCATCACCCAAACGCCTGTGAAGGGATAAAATTAAGTGATGTGCTTGATAAAACAATATCGGTCCTTTAGTGTTCAAAATATGTTGAGATGGGACTGCTACTTAAGTGTATGAGTCAAGTTGCATTTGACATATGCATGCCTATGTAGGACGGCTACCTCTAAAATACTACAATTTACAGACAATTAGCCTCTGCTAAATTCACTAAATAAAAACGGAAAACTTCTAGTTACTCACTGAAAGCAACGATGGAGGGCCCAAACTGTTGTCGCGCAGTACACCGAGTCACGAACATGACATACGCAGCCCTGAGGTGGGCCTGGTTTGCAGGGGAACAAGCCGCTAAACGGATGCTGATAGTTAATGAGTTGATCTTTCACTGAAAGGAAGAAAGTCCGATTGAGTGGTTTGGTAACAATTGGGCAATACGCAAAGCGAATTTTGCTGAAAATAATAAATTGGAGCTAAGATAGCTTAAAAATATTTTTTGACG